CGTTTGTAATCGGCGGCTTTCTCAAGAAACTGCTCCACGTTGTCGGCTATCTTATTGTTAGTCACGTGACAATATATAAAATAAAATTCTATCAAATAATTCGTGCACCATTTATTTTCGCATCAATCTAGGAACATAAGAAATTTGTACGTACGATAGCGAAGATAGTCGAATTGAAATGAATCGCGCATTATAAATAGTACGTTGTCAGGTAGCAGGCGCGCCGAATAATTTCACGCGGATTCATTTTGAATGTGAACATCTGCCCTTGGGGATGAATTATGAAATGAAAATTAACTGATATTCTCGCCGCCGTTACGACCGATAAAAAAAAAAAGGACAAATTATAACTGGTGTGTTCAGAAATCGTGTACCGCGCCGTGTCGAAACGGACATCGCGATTATGTACACTGATAGTGATCAAGCTACGATCAATCGTGCGTCCTGTTTTTTGAACATGAACGACACACAGAATCAGAACAATTTCGATTTTGTACCAAAGTCTGATTACAACGAGAAATGGCACCTGGGAAATAAATGTCTTTTTCATAATCAACAAGTAAACAAGAGAAATAGAATAGTCCAGATACGATAAACGATCATCCTTCTTCACTTATATTTGCAAATTTCTCTCTCTGCTTTTTCTTTCCCTCATTTTGTATTCCTCGGTTTACATCTTGATTATCTAAAAGCGAAAAATTTGTGAATTGTCGATTGACGATTTGTAAGTTTGTTAATACATATCGTAATACGTTTCACTGCAGTTCCTCGAGGGGGACAAGTGTGAAACGAACAAACTAGCGTGTCCAGTATCGTGCGATCTTTGTTTGCACTTCAAAGAGAAATTCAAGTCGAAGAGAAGCGGAGGCACTTTGAATCAGAAATCAGGCGATTGGAAATCTGATGAAAATGTTGTCAAGAATTCCTTGGAATGTATCGTACAGAAACCTTCGATTACCGAATGGAGATGGAAAAATCCTTATAGCGTTTCTGATTTTGATCGATCGAAACGTTGGTCTCGACGTAATTTTACTTCAGGTGAATTTATTGTAAAACGTAGTCGGAAAAATATTAGTTTAAAGAAATCGATGTATTAGATATATTAAATCAATTTTCCTTCCAAAGGAGATGACTTTACAACGAATTTGTTACGCGATTTATGTAATAAAGAAGATCGTTACAAAAATCCTGTGAATGATGATACTAAGAAGAATTTCTTGTACAATTTCCACGAATATTTGGTCAATTACCAAGAATCGTGTGGCGTTCCACGAACAGAATATTCTTTTTCGACTCTTATTAACACGATGGGTCGAGCAACAGGTCAATCTCTTCTTGCGTTGTTGTATGTCATGCTGAACGTTATACCTGTTATTGAGGTATCGTTAAATAATAATCGATTTATCCTTCTCCCATCATTAAATTATTTAATAGAACTAGAGAACTTTCGCCGTTCAAAATAATTAATTTGTTTCATATTCCTAATTCTATTTATTACGGATTTTTAAAGTTCATCATAAGTTAAATATTTTTATATCTTTGCTTTAAATAGTTTTTGAATTCATTATTTTGAGCAGTGTTCACGATCGAAAGTTCACACTTATTAATTTGAATCATTTATGAAAATTTTTCGTATCTTTTGGCCCTCAATCATCGCGTCAATTCTCTCTTGGACGGTGAAAAATTTCAAAATTTTTCAATTAGAAAGAGATTACAAAAAAAAAAAAACAAAAACAAAAAACAAATCGTTAAAGCAAAGAAAAGACATTACAAAATTGTTATTGCTATATTGTCTGAAATTTTAATGTATAAATATTTATGAAAAATCTAAGTACCTAACATTTACGTATATTATGAATGGTACATTTTTAGGTATTCCTACACTTATTGCGATTCGTTCTGGACAAAGTGATTAGCATAAGCAACAGCAAGGACTTCCGGCAAACGATCACTCGATGTTTAGTATTCACGACAGAATTATTTAGTGTCTATATATGTCTAATATTTATATTCGGTTTTATTGTCTTACCAATTGTACACATGATAATTGATATAATAGCAAAGATCATGCTCTATAATTAATCGTTTATATTTAATTGGATGGTTTTAGAACTAATGTGATTATTATGTGAATTTGTCATATAATTATTGAGAATTGTTTATACATGCACAATTAAAAAAAACTCCTTTAAATATACCTATCCATTTCGCCTTGTTAATTTCAAATTAACTCGTTATTCTACAATTAGATCGATTCTTTCGTGTATTTCCCAGGCTGAAAGATTCTAATTCACTGTTATGAAAATCTCCTAAATTCAATGATCTTTATTTCTTTTCTATATGATATTCTTAAGGGTAGAATATTACAAATAATTATCAAAACGTATATCATAGCATTCGGTGCGATTTTATTAAAAAAAAAATGTGTCGACAGCACACACTGGAAAGCGAATAGTTTCAGATAATATAAAATTTCTGTTAACCGAATTAACTACAGGTTAAATTGAATGATCAAAGTCTCTGTAATCGTACGTCCTAGTATCCTCTAAATGTTTTGAACGTATGACAATTTGAATGTAATTCAGAAAAATGTTGAAATGCACATTTCCATTGTCGAATTAAGATCTTAAATACAGATTGAAATTCTTCTCTCCTCGTAGAATGTAAACTCATCTTCATCTTGGAAGACAGAATTTCTTCTCAATCTCGATCTTAGATCTTGTTTTCCACAAATGTAGAAAGAGAACTTCATCCTGTAAAATTCGATTTCTCCTTTGAAGCAAAGAAGTGAGACGCTTGTTCTCGATTTGTTTGCAAGTTCTTAGTTCGACTTATTGTTAGCGCGAAGAAGTTAACGAGAAGAAGACCCTGCGCGACTTTTTTTATACAACGACCGCAAGAAGAGAGCTGCGAACAGAGAATAAAACTTCAATTCCTATCAACGCGACAGATCGAAAGAAGAAACACATTCGATCCGCACTTGGTCACTTTGTACGAGTATCTGAACAATTGATTGATCTGACAGTCTCATTGATTGATTCGAAGCGTGCTGCTTTAGGCGAAGAAACGAAGGGATGTGCAAGATGTCTTCCTTTCCTTCTGATGCTCTGACGTTCGATCAAAGTGCAAACTCTCAGTCTGAATTATTTTCTTAAAAGATCATCTTTGTCAACAACTTCTCATACGAAATCTAATTCCATCGAAAGAATATTAGACAGAAGCAAGTATCGTGAATATGATCAAGTCCGCATTAACTACTATATCACACGCACATATCATCGATAAATAATTATCACCGACAATTAAACACGATACGACATTAATCTATTGCTTACTAGTAATTAAATAATTGGCCTCTAACGTGGATACGAATACTTACTGAATATCTCGTAAAAACAAATAAAGTACCACTGTTAAATAAGTTATTAACACATGCGCATACTTGTCCTCGCCATTGCTATTCATTCACATAGACATGACGAACAGAATGTGATCACATTCGCGACGTGGTGTGTACTTCTTTGGGATGAGACAGAGACTCTGTTGAAAATATTTTGGTAAATGATATGTCACATGTCCGCACTTTTAAATCGTCGTACATTGCGAGGAAAGGAAATGGTGAACGATTTTAAACGCGTGGAATGGAATTTGTATGTATGAAAGGTAAGACCTAATAGACGATTGCCGCGAATATGACGAAAAAGGAAAGGATGAGATGACGAGGTGGCTGAGTGTAACTCGCAGCACCCCATCCACATTCGAGATCGGTCTTCAACGCTTCCAATACTGATACGTTATTTTTGTTTAAGCAGAATGCCTCGCGAAGATCGTCGTCCCAGCCATTGTCCCAACAATCGAACTCGTCATCTTCCTCGTCCCGTTCGAAGTTCTTGAACTCGCTGTAAGTCGTGCAACGATCTTCTTGGTACTGTCTGTGCTTCCTCTGCCAATTCTCCATCCATCTGAAAGAAAATGTCTCATCTTAACGCGGTTCAAAGAAAGCCAGGATAGAATATGCTTCGGTAAGGAAATCTTTAAAAATTCCACATATCGAAGATTAATTAGGAACAATTAATTTAATTAATTTAATAAATCAGACTATACAGGAATAATTCAGACTGATTTAATTATCAGGGACGATAGTTGAATTATTCCTAAATTAGTACTTTATTTTTTTAATTGTAGAAACCTTCTTAAAAATCTGAAAAATGTTCTGATGTTAAATTATTGTTAGCTGTATTCATAACATTCATAACTTCTATAAATTCTCGAATTTATTTACAAAAAGAATTTATCGAAATACAAAGATAAAGTATGTATGATCGCGATTGCAAGAAGGAAAATGAAATGTCGCATATATCCGCACGTGTCCGCATTCCTTCGAGTTATAAAATCGAGTATAAGTAAAAATGGAGTCAGTGACTCACCCGATGTCGCAGTCGCAAGTGAAGTAGCTTCCCCTCACCGTCAGTTTCAACAGAAATCGTTTTCCTGGCACGCCTGGCTTGTACCCGTTTGATGGGTTGTGAAGGGTTCGCAGGTCGTTGTGATGAAGGTGAACGGTCACGTTTCTCACCCATTCTGCATTCTCAAACATCTTCTTGGGCACTGTGCTCACGCTCGTGTTGTACATCCCGAAATGCAAATGCGGATTTCTTATACCCTGGACACAATCAATCTTTTCGTTAATTTACCAAAGACCTGAATTTTTCTTTTTTTTTTTTTTTTTTTTTTTCTTCAGAGAAGAAGAGAATGCTCTGAGATAAATTCAGAATCTTTGCAGGAATATATGCTAATAAGTTAATAAAAGGAATGCATACTCGCAAAATATCTGGGTTTATATTCTTCAATGATTGACCAGTCAATGTTATATTGAATAACTTGTTGGGAAACTTTCCTTTCATCTCTTTCTCCAGGTCCGTGTCGTTTTGTACCTGGAATCGAACATTTTCAACATTTAGATACGTATCTTTCTGTGCAAATGATGACTTTACACGTACGTCGATAACCAAATGCCTTAAGCCGTGATTGTACTCGAGGATGTTGGGGAAGTTGAAATTCTTCACGCCGTTGTAAGCGGTTATATATAACTTGCGAAGTTTCGTAGCTTTGCAAAGTGCTCCGCTCTGCAAACCAAGAAATTATATTTAATACTTCAACGAGGGGAATAATAATCAATCTTCAAATATTTCATATATAAAAATGTTTGAAGTGTAAAAGGAGAGATTAAGTTTCACAATTTTCCTATTTCTATAAGAACTTGATTGAATGAAATTGGCGAAGATCGTCAAAAAATTATAATCCCCGATTAATAATAATTCTGCACACTTGAAACTTTGTTTCTGAAGTGAAACCTTGCCTCGAAAGTGGTTAAAGACAGTCTTCGTATGTCCAGTTCCTCAAGGCTGTCCGCGATACCTAAGAAACTAGTGTTACTGACGGCCGTGATCGGATTATCCGCTAGATTGAACGTTTTCAATTCGGGCAGAGTGTGCGTGATCAATGGCACCACTGTTAGATCGTTGGCGCTTAGATCCAAGTAATGAAGAGACGTTAAGTTCGATGCCATTTCCGCTGGTATCGATGCCAACTCATTGTGCGCCAAGTACAACGTTTGTAACCGCCTTAGCGGCAATTCTGGCACCTTTTAAACAAATAAACGAAACATTCTTGTACATGTATACACATACACACATTACAAGCGTGTCCATATATACATTGAAACGTGTACGTACACTTAAGAGTGAGATGTTGCTCAGATCGAGGTACAAGAGGGAGTCTTCTAAACCGTGGAACGTTCTTCCGCGTGATTCCAAGAGCAATTGCTTGTTGTGACTCAAATCCAGATGAGTTAGATATTGTAGTTCGGAGAACACTCCATCGTCGAGTCTGACTAGGCGATTGTAAGATAGATCCAGCCATGTTAGACTCTGCAATGAATGAAAATTAACTTAATGAAAGAATATTACATTCTGTCGATCCTCTGACGAATATTATAATTTAAAATAGAAAATATAAAAGTGTACAAAATTAAATTCCCAAAAATTCAGCGTACAACTAAAGTACAGCAACTTTGTTTTTAAATTCCAACTGCGATCTAAATTTTCACGCGTCGTTGCATCAGCTTTAAAATAGGAATTACACGGACTCTGTTCTAAAGAATTCAAATCTGTATATTCATAGAGTGCCACTGACTCGTAGTCTAAATATAGCGTCGGTAGTATGAATTCCTGACAAAGTGTTCCAAGACAGGTCCAGCATAGATAAACTGGCAGCAGCCGAGATGGACATTGTTTTCATAGGTAGCCTCATAAACTGATTGTGAGACAAATCCAGACTTTCGATATTCGCGTCCGAGAACATGTTATCCGGCAGTGTTCTCAATTTGTTGTGAGACAGATCGACGATCCTTAATTTCCTCAATGGTCTGAGCGCTTCCGCTGGAATGTCCATGATACTGTTCCAAGAGAGGGAGAGCACTTGGATGTTCTTCGTGTTTCTGAAGCAGTCGAAGTCGATCTCCATCAGCTCGTTGTGACTCAGATCTAGCCATTGCAAGTGTGGCATATTTCCAAAGACACCTTGGGTCACGTTGCTCAACTGATTGTGAGCTAGATACAGATGCGTCAAGGAATATTCGACTGGCTTAAAGTAGTACTTCATTATGTCGGATATGTTGTTGTAACTGAGATCCAGGACTTTGATGTTCGATTGAATTGTCCCGCCAACTGCAACGCAATGGAGAAAAAGATCAGAATTGGCAATAGTTAAGTTCCGGAATTTTAAATATTCCTTTTGATACTTTTGATATTTAGATCATACTGACTGATAACTTTGAGATAACTTGAAAAGGGAAATTTTATACAAATCTTGTTTTTTTAACGTTTAACGTTAGGAAAATGTTAGAAACTAATTTTCTAATATTAGAAACTTTTCTAATATTAGACACAGTTTGCAAATTTCGATAATTTTATTATAACAATTCATTCACTTTGTGAGAAAATTAAAATTGTATACCATGATTTGAGAGCAGAATTTTTCAAATTCTATACACGTATGCGATATATCACAAATTGTACTAAATACTAAATTTAACAACTTAATATCGTCGTTCGAATTTCAACAAATTTCTAACATTAAAATTCCCGAGTTTCCAGATCGTTTCGAGAGCGAATAGTTCTCCTGAAAAAAGATTCAAGGATGTTGTGACTATATAGTATAACGTTCGCGTGATACGTTGCGCAAGATATTACGCAGAGAAATTAGAAGTAGCATGCCTGCCGATTTGTAAATGAGTGAAGAGGTTTCATCGACTTTCGTTTAGCCAGCTTAGACAAAATCTACTTAAGCTTCGATTGAAAGAACACCGCAATCGACTTACTGGTGGTTGGCGGTGTAAATGTAGTGCTGTTTATCCACAATTTCGGGATCTCATTGTGACTGGCGTTAACTTTGAACGAGGACAACGTCCCCACTTGGTCGAACGAGGCGAAGTCAAACTCGGTTAGGTCGTTGTACGCCAGATCGAGGAACTCCAGGTCTGGCAGATTCTTCAACATAAATAATTACAATTGATTGCAAGTCTTTGTATACTTTTCTATTCAACGTTTGTATTTCATAATATCTAAAATCTCTGACGTACATTCAAATATGTGTATTGCATATGAATAAATCATACGATGAAAATAAAATAGGATACATAGCGATTATCAACGAGTTAAAATATAAAATATACACCTGTTACAAGTTAAATGTAAAACCTGGAAGTTCGTGTGAAAAAAAA